TCTCCTTGTGCTTCACAGAGCCTGCGGGTTGAAGCCTAACGGAGGTTTGTAGTCACCGTGTCAAACAAGTTGGTTTCCCGACAGTATGTGCCCACCTCCTGTCTCCGTGTCCCCTTTTGGTCATTCCCACAATGCTTCAAACCTTTGCATCATGCCCACTTCATAGACAACCGTGTAACAATCCCTTTCCTCTGCCCTCGGAAACCGAAGCATGTGGTGACGATCTATTGTGACAGTCGCTTGATGGTGGTGCTCTGGACTCAAACCTGCTTCATCTCTGGGGGCGGCCTGCAGGTGGGTGACCCACGGAGTTAGGGGACAATGCTCACTGGGACCATGGGCTGGTGGTCCAAGGCCACTCTTCCAATGGTGACTGTTGCAGAGTTCCCCAGGCCCCCACCCCTTCTCGAAGCCTGCATGGTAGGAGGACCTTCCTCAGGCTTTAGTGAGCGTTATTCAGCTTCGCCCAAGGACAGGCAGTGAGCTGAAGAGCAGGACTCTCAAGCTCCATCACTGAGTTTGAATCCCAGCTCTGCCATTTCTTAGTTCCGAGACCTTGGGCTACTCCTACAAGCTTTCCCAGCCTCCGTTTTGTCGTCTGTAAAGCGAAGATGACCAAGGAGTGCTCACTTCTGGTGGAGAGCAGTGACATCCTGTGCTTCCTGAAGGGGGAAGGTCCCACTCTGAGCTACACGGTGATCCCCAGCGCTATGGGGTGGTGGGTGGGCGGGTGCGTGGGGGGCAACTTCTCAACTCAGTCTCAGGGTGAGTGCGGCGGACATGTGGCCTGTTCTGTTCTGTAGACAAGGCTGTGCTTGTCTCGTGGGAAATTGGGGTTTACCTATGCAGGTGAATGGCCGACCTACCTGGGACCTGGCTGAGCACTGAGAGACACTGACAGGGAATGTAGGATACAGGGCCCTTGAGGGAATCTCTCCACTCTACCTGAACACAGCGGGGCTAAGGCAATTCCTCGTCTGGGCTGGTTTGTCTCTCTCACTACTTTGGACCCTGCTCTTGCTGCCTGAGCTGACTCCAGGCCTTTTCTCAATTGGGGCCTGCAACAGTTATTGGGGTCCTGGGGGAGCTCGGGACAGCTTGGGAGAAATGATGACGCTGGAGTTCCTGGCTGGAATGTATACCAGGACTCTTCCTGAGTTGTACCAGGTTCCCACAAATCACTTGGCGTTTGATGTTCTCATCACTGAATTGAATGGACCACAAGGGAGGTGAACCACTCTAATGTTCGGCACGCTGCCTTGACTCTCAGTGTGGAAAGACTGCATGCTGGCTGGTGACAATGGGAGGGACTCAGTGCTGTGGGCTGAGTGGAGGGGCACTGAGAGCAGATGCCCACTGAGTGGAGTTCTTTGTGCTCTGGTGGGGTCGCCATCTTGCTAGCACTGGCTTGGCCCCTGGTCCCTCAGCCTGATAGAGCTTTCCAACATGCCACCCCAGGGCCTTAGCACGGACTGGTGCCGCTTCTCCTTGGCTGACTCTCCTCTCCAGTCCACGAGTTGCCTGTTTCTCATCACTCAAGCCTAAGCGTTCATGTTCTCCATCCAAGAAGCCGTCTTGTTATGCAGATTCCAGGTGTCCCCGCATTTCTGTTCTCAGATCCAACCCTTCTATGCCTTGCTGATCCCCAGTTCTAGGATACCTTTGCTTGCCTTGAACTAGTTTATAGGAGTGGTTTATGTGTAGTTGTGAAGGGTTTTGCCCTGTGTGGATCCACAATTGATGCTCATGGTAGCAGCAGTGAAGAGATCAAGACACATTGCATTGGGTAAATCTGCAGCACACGACCTCTTTAGAACATTGAAAAGCAAGGATGTCACTTTGAGGACCAAGGTGAGCCTGAGCCAAGCCATGGTCTTCTCCATCACCTCATGTGCATGTGAACGTTGGACACCGAATAAGGAAGACTGCAGAAGAATCAGTGCATGTGAGT